AAGGGAGGAAGGTATCAGGTGAGTTGAAGAATATATAGAAGGGAATGATAAACTTTGAACTCAATGCTGGTAAGTATAGAAGTGAGCACATAAGTTTGGTGATGGAGCAGTAAAAAGATGGTAGGATCAATAGACTGTAGGTCCTGGGGCAGTGAGTTGGATAGATAGGAGGTGGTGGTTGGAGAGTGGGATGCGTGGCATAGAGCTCGTGGAAGGGTTGCAGGTATTGGAAATGCAGGTATGACTATGGGAATAACAGGCTGAGGTAGGATGGAGACAAGATCTTGAGGGAAATGGAAGTCAAAGCATTGACAGGCCAGAGCTTTGCTAAATATTGTAAACACAGGAATTTTTGACAGAGGAGTGTTGGAAAGAAGTGATAGGGGAGCAAGAGTAAAGTCTTCAAGGGCTGAGGGCAAATACATGCTGTGGAGGGGGGAGGGTGTCAGTAGATGACGGTAATGAGAAGGAGTAATATGGTCCTATGACTTGAGATTCAAATCTGAGGGGTGGTTAGGAAGGAGGCAGAAAGAATGGTCTGGAAGCCACAGTAATGTAGAGGCAGCAATGAAGAGCAAAGAGAAACCCTCCTAACCCTCCCATAAGGAATTATGGGAGGAAAAACACCTACCACTTGAGAGGGCTATAGGGATAGCAATGTTCTCAGAGGAGAACCTGGTTTCCTTAAGAGCAATAAGGTGAAGGGACTATTTAAAGAAGAGTTTGAGGATATAGGGGACTGTGCTGATGATGGTCAGTGTGCTTGGGCTCCAGAAATTGAAGTGGACCCATTCAGAGAATGGAGTAGAGATGTGGTCAGATTTGGGGATGTGGGGAACCATAGGGAGATTGGAGTTCAGGTGCTGGGGAGTGACCTGGGTGTCTTGAGCTTCTTAGGGTGACTGAAGTAAACAGGGATGTAGGGCATAATGGTATTTGGAAATCTCCATGAAAGAATATGGTGGTGCAGCTGTCAGTGCTGTGCCATGGGAGGAAGGAGGTAGGGGATCTTGCTATGGACAGAGCCTACACACCTAGTGTTTCAAGCAGTCTGACTCTAGAGGCCTGGAGAACTTAACCACTCAGCTCTTTTGATTCTTAAAGATGTTCATTTGAATGTGAGAAGGAAGTTAATGATCTGTGTAGCTTAAAACATTTTTATTGCTTTTGACTTTCTATTACATTGACATTAAGATGTTTCTTCTAAAGCCTCAGGATTCCCCAGCTGAAAGGTAACCAGCATATGTACATTAGAGTTCTAAATGTTCTTCTGGGGGAAGAATGATATTTCTCACAGATATTGCTTGTAAAATGGGAAAAAGAGGGTTGGGGTGAGGCTCCAAGGGGAAGTTCATGGAACTCGGCACAGACTCAATGCTCAGTAAAAAAGAACTGCCTTTTTCTTTCACCTTGCTGAATGCCCTTTGCACCCATCCCCATGCCTATCGATTCTTCCTTGGATGTTACTTAACTTCTCTGGGCCTTAATTTCCTTATCTGTCGAATGGGAAAATCATAGTCCCTACTTCACAGGAAAGTTGTGATAATTAAACAAGATACCAAACCAAAACCCAGTTCCCTTGAGTCAATTCTGAGTCATAGCAACCCTATAGGACAGAGTAGAACTGCCCCTAGGGTTTCCAAGGAGCAGTTGGTGGATTCGAACTGCTGACCTTTTGGTTAACAGCCGAGCTCTTAACCGCTGCGCCACCAGGGCTACAATTAAACAAGATAGTGTGTGTAAAATGATCTAACACAATGCATGGCACATAATACAAGTACTTAATAAATATTATTGTTATAAATTGCCTCCCATTCAGCTCCTTTCTTCCTGCCACTTCCTGTTTCTTTGTTTTTTTCTCTTTCATCTCCATCATCCCTTCCTCTCCCTATTTTCCCATACTTCCTCCCCTTATTTTTCCATACTTCCTCCTTTGCCTATTTCCTCTTTCTCCTCCCTGGCTGCCAGTGGTGCCCACACCTAGTTTAAACCTCTCTGTGGCCCTTTGAGGTAAGGAAATCTTAGGGTAGAGGTGAGGTAGCCCTCAGAGGAAGGAAACTGCTGGTGGGGTCAGTCTCTTGGCCACCCCAACTGAGTCTGAGGTCAAGAGGTCCACAGTGGGCTGACGACAGCCTCAGGAGATGGTAGTCCGATCTTGCAGGCCACCTTGGCCACTGTGTGTGGGGCTGGGCGCAACAGTGGGGCAGAACAGGCTATGGAGATGAGGATCACTTGAACAGGAAGGAGCTGGGCCCAGTAAACATGTGGAGGGACAAGTGAGGACAGTGCCAGTCCTGTAGCTGTTCCTGCTGCTAATACCACTATTACCACTCCCAGTGATAATGACGGAGGCTCCTCTCCATTGAGCATCTCCAGTGTGTTGGGCTTTGGGGTGACAGTCAGGGGGTAGCGGAGTATACTGGTTAAGACCTTAGATTCTAGAGCCAGACCACCTGGATTTGAATCCTGACTCTGCCACTGAATAAGTTGTATGCCCTTGTGTAAGTTATCTAACGTCCCTGTGCCTCAATTTCTCATCTCTAAAGTAGAGATAATAGGAATAGTATAGTTATTATGAGTATTAGGTGAATTAATATTTAACAAAGTGCTTGTAATAGTTCCTGGCACATAATAAGTGTTTGGAGTTCCTGGGTGGTGCAAACTGTTAATGTGCTCATCAGCTAACCAAAAGGTTGGCAGTTTGAGGTCACCCAGAGATGCCTCAGAAGAAAGTCCTGGCAGTCTCCTTCTGAAAAACCAGCCATTGAAAACCCTGTGAGTCGCAGTTCTGTTCTGACACATTGCCTTGAGTTGAAATTGACCCGACAGCAACTGGTTTTGGTTTTACGTAAGTGTTTGCTTTATTAACTTTAAAAAAAAATCTTACAGTTGTTTAAGGTGTCAGCCTAATTATTTTCCTTTTGCTGATACCAAAACGGGGTGGGGAGGTTAAGTGACTTGCCCAAGGTCATAGGGCTGTTACGTGGCAGAACCAAACCTAGAACCCAGATATGGCAGACTCCAAAGTCCTTGCTCGTAACCGCTGTGCTAAACTGCCTCTCTGGACATACCAATGGGAAGTTTGCATTGTAGGAGGGCTGTAAGGGATGGAGGAGCAAGTGGGCACCGTGAGTCCAGGTGGGTAAACAGCAACTGGAGTCTGAGAGGTCAGCAGAGGTACTGCTTGAGGACATGGACAAGTGTCTGCAGGCCCTCTGCCCTGGTTCTCTGCTCCCTGCCATGGGAGAGGAGCCTGGGTTCCCAGGCCCATTTCAGGGAGAGATCAGTTTCCTTAGGTACGAACATTCTGATTACAGCCAGAGAGCTGAGCCTTCCTGGAACTTTTTCCTCCTTCCATGTTTTTTGGGTAACCTCAGTCAAGTCATTTAACCTGTTTTCATCTCACTTTCCTCCTCTGTCAAATGAGGATAATGATACTTTACCTGCCTACCTTATGGGGATTTTGTGAGGCTTGAGTGGCTTATGGATGTGAAAACATCTGAAAAAAATAACACAGTACCCAAATTTAAGATGGTGGGGTGATCACAGCCCCCACAGACCACATTACTGTGAGGGGCCAGGATGGGCCTCTTGGTCCTCCATAGCCACCTCATGCCATGATGCCCATTGTCAAATCCCATGACCTTTTTCACTTGTTACAGCATGTGCCTTTTAATGTGATCAGTAGGGATGCTTGGAACCTCATCTCCTTTTTTGAGTGACTGGGATTTTACATTTCCCTCTGTGAACGTAAAGTAATAGTTGAGCATCATCTGGGTCCCTGGGAAATTTTCCTTCTGCATGGATTTTTATTTCCAGGAGCCAGAGCCAGTGTCTCTGTCCAGGGCCCACAGTTGTCCCAACTCCTCTTCTCTGCCTGGAGAGCCTCTAACTGCCTCCTCTCATTAGCACACAGTCTTGGTTATATGCTTGCCCTCTGGAGATCAGGGAGGCAGCTGACCCCTTTCCCTTGGGTGTCCTTGTCTCTCTGGGCTTCTCGTTGGTATGTGTGTTGTGTACGTGTGTTGGGGGCTGCATAGGCCCTGGAGGCCAGGCCTCTTGCCAGCTGCTGAAGTCCCCCCCCCCCCCAAGAACTGACTTAGCCACCTAGCCTCTTCCGTTTTCTGCCTTCTTCCAAGCTCTACACCAAGGTGCCCATCCCAGATAGAAACTGTGCGCTGGCTTGGTAATCCAAAGCTTCCATTTGAGAGAGATGGGAAACAGGAGTAAGTGAGTGAGAGTGTTTATGCCTGTGTGTGAGAACACGTGTTGGATATAGGGAGGGTGGGGAAGTTCTTTTTGGCACACCATGCCAGAATTGGCCCAGCTGCTTGGTCTTCACCCAAAAGTAGGACTAACCCTGGACTGACCCCAAATATTCAATGAGGAAGCTCTTTATTCTTGGATCTAGACCCTACCAGACCTAGCAATAAATTTTTTTAATCTGGAAAATGGGGATAATAAATCCTACTCCTTATGATCTTCATGTCAAATGAAAAATAAGCTTTTAAATAGTCCACCGGCTACTCACCAGGAGCAGGAAGTGACATAAGGTTGTGTTTCTCCAAGTATATTCTGCAGAATACCTTGTGTTATTAGAAGAAAGTCACTGGTTAAATAAGTTTGAGAAACATTAGGATAAACAATGTTAAGAAGTTTTCTGACTGTAGGGACTATTCAGGTCTTTAATACACCAACACACACGGTAACGCTCCAAGAGAGGGTATCTATATTATGTAACAATTCTCAAAATTTTAACCGAACCTTTCTAATGGAGCATTTTTCAAGGATCATCTCTGCAAAATACACTTTCAAAAATGCTGACCTAGGTCATAAATATATTAATTTCGTTTTCTTCTTAATAGTGAAGGGAGGTGAACTGGTGAAATGCATGGGATCACTGAAAACGTGTGTCCTAAATCTCAAGGGTGTTCAACTTCAGAACCTATTGAAATGGGTACTTCCTGCTCTGAAACACTTCTCTCTCCCCATCCTTACAGCTCCCCTTTGAACTGGAGATTTACTACATCCAGCATGTTATGCTCTACGTGGTGCCCATCTACCTGCTGTGGAAAGGAGGTAAGGCCGGCAAACCCCACCCCTAGGCCACCCCTACCCTTCTCCCTTCTGTTTTTGGAAGTCAGAACCTCTTGGGCGCCTACCAGGGATCTTGAGCTACTGTTTGCCTGGGTTTCTTCCACATGCTTCATTCCAGACACCAGGCAGTGGGAAAATGGGCATGGACTAGGCCTGCAACGAGTCTGGAGGCTTTTCAGAACTATCCTTCGTGAGTGAGCATGGTACTGCTGATTGCCTGTCATAGGGCCTTGGCTTTGAGCTCTTTGTCTGTAGTGGTGTTGGGTTTGCATGGAGCCCTCTACACTCTGCCACTCTTTTGTGCTTGTGCCATCCCCTGCCTCAGTATGCAGTATAGAGTAGAAGGAGAGAATGAAGCTGCTTAGTCCTCTCATGAGAGGGACCTTGTGCTCTTGTTCATTATAATGCTCTTCTCAGAACCAAAGATATTGAAAGGGGCAAAAGGCCCAGGGAGGGACTGGGGAATTATGGAATTGAGGGAAAAGGCAGGTGAAAGAGAAGTGACCTCCATGTAAGATAAACCATTGAAAACCTTCATTTGGTCATGAGGGAGAGACCACCAACCTGGTAGACAGAGACAGACAGGAAGCTGATCCATTTGTGACCTCACAATGACCCTTAAGTTATTCCCTCCCTCTATTGTGTAGTAGTCCCAAGGGGATGGGAGTGCCTATCCCCTTTAGGCATGTTGAGAGCCAGTCCCTCTCAATATTCTCTTTCTGAAAGACCCTCAAACTGGAAGACAGCCTCTTCTAGTCTTAGCCACTAGTTTCTCCATCTTAGATGTTGGGAATTTTCTGGGAGACCATCCTAGGCAGGATGGGTTTCATCTCTATGGCACAAAAATGGCACGGGGCACATGGACCCTTGAGCCCACTGAAGATGGTTTGGGGGTTCTACTGGGCTCGACTACTTATTGGCTTATGCGTGCTTCCTCTAACTCAGGAATTCTGGTAAATCTTCAGAACTTGTGCTATGAGATAGCCTCATGGAGCAGTCAGTCCAGGGACATGTTGGAGATGGGCACCGTTGCTCTCCAAGGAATCTACTTATCTTCAAGAGACTTGCTCCTTGTGCCCTGGTTTCTAAAGAATCTATAACTCTTTCCCATAGTCTCATCTAAATATTCTTTGAAGCTGTTTTTACCCTGTGCAGCCACGTGGGGTCTCACACTGTCAAAGAGCACTTCCTTTTAATTTGTTTAACTGTACTTCTCCACTGAGTTTTAAAGTCCGAAGTCCAATATCCAGGAGACTTGTACCATTTCTCAGCTCTGTTCCCTATGTCACAAGGAAGAAGCCTCCTAATATTCAAGTCTGGGAGATACACTCATTCTGAACTGAACCAGGCAGGCAGCTATCCCAGGGCTCTAGACCCTGACCATTCATTGTACCCAGGTTCTGAGGTACGTGTTGAAAGAACCCCTGAGTTCTGGCCAAATATGAATGGCTATTATTTAAACCTATTGGTGCTCTGAGATGACCATAAAAATCTGTCAGATAGCTGGGCTACACTGGTCTGACATGGAAAATACCAAGTAGCCCCCTCCCCCGCAACAAAAACAAACAAACAAGCTGGGAAGCCATACCCTCTAGAAATGGCTGATACCTCTGTGGTCTGTTTGGGAGAACTAACTGAGGAAGTAAAGATAAATTCCAAGTAAGTCTTCATTCTAATTTATTTCCTACTGTTAGTGATTCTTTCCTCTCTCCTCTGGTCCCTGGCCCTGAGAAGAGGATATAATAATAGTAACAATAATAATGATCATAGTAAATATCAATGACTACTTTTTATTGAGTGTTACCTGTGTAACAGGTAAGATACTGTGCTTGGCATGTTTAGTCTATTATCTCATTACAAATAGCCTTGGTCATCCTCCTTTTACGGAGGAGAAAATCAAGGCTCAGAAATGTTAGTTACCTTGCTCACAGCCATAAGTAGCAAAGCCAGAATTCGAAACTCATCTGAGATTCCCTCCAAAACTGGTACTCTTTCCCATATACCACGTTGTCCTAAAGGACGGATACTGGTCTCCTAACTGCATCAGACTGAGAGTTCCAACCCTCCCCCTCCCCATTCAGCCACCCATTCAACACATATTTGATGTGAACACCTTCAATGTCAAGCATTTGTACTAGGGAATCGAAGATGAGTGAGTCAGGCACAGTCCTTCCACAGGGAGTCTATTGGAGAAGACAGGCAGTTGTAATACGGCATGGTAAGTGCTACAGAGGGTATTGCGGAAGCGTAATATGATTTCTGAAGCCTAGTCCACCTTCTTCATCATCTCTGGGAAGATAATTTTATCTTCTTCGAGCAGATCCTACTGGTAGCCCCATTCGCTAACTGATGAGGTGAGAGATATGATGCTTTGTTATTGCTAATAACCCCTAGGCACCCTAGCTCAGTGAGGATTCTGCTTCAAGACACGTGGAATGATTTCCCTGAGCAGATCTTTGAGTCCAGGCCCTGGGGCAAGCATCCCAGTGCCCCCCAGGACTTGATGGGCTCCATGAGGCCATGGCTATTTTTCCAGCTCTTTGCTACCATCTACTGTTCACTTGAGGAGAACTGTTACAATTTAGAGAAAAATCTGGATTTCCTAAGGTTTGCTTTGTCTTGCATCCTGGGCGTAGGACGCAGGCCTTGCAGAGGGGAAGTGGATCTGGAATGAGCAGTGGGAAGATTATTCCTCTGTAAACCAAGAAACTGAAGGTTTGGGGCTTCTGTTCCCTAGAAGTCTCTTATAATTTTCTAGAAACAAATGACTCAGTAGTTTTTACCTAAGGCAAGATAGCTCTCCTATAGATACTTCCCTTGCCCAGAAATCCTGTGTTCCTGGAAGGCAAGGTCCTGCTTGAGCACATAGTGCCTCTTAGTCTGTGGTTTGGGGCCAGGTGGGTGGAGCTTGATGGGAATCTCATTCCTCATTCCTGCAGGCCTTAGGCACCACCTCAGTTCTCAGGGCGTCTCTTGGCCATACTGCTCTTTTCTTCCTCCAGCCTGGTGCTTTTCTCTGCTTTCTTTCGTTCCAACTTATTGCCTTTGGTCCCCTGGGACTATATTTCTTATAAACAACTCTCCCTCACTACCAGCTCTTGACAGAACGCAAAGTCCTTCTTCTCTTTGCCTGAAGCTCCCTCTAATGGAGGCTGCTCTGTCTACCCTGTCCCATATGCCTCCCAGCTCCCCACTGTTTCTTCCAGACCGTTATTTCATCTCTACCTTATGTGAACATGCTCTCCCTTTTACCATTCTCTCTGCCCCCTTTTTCATCACAACCATCACCTAACCTGTTGGTCGCTTCCCCCACATTCCTAAAAGTCTTTGACTCATGGCTTGTAATATTTCCATTACAACTCCAGCCAGCATCTTTAGAGACTTCTGATGAGAACCCTCATCCCACCCCAGCCTCTTAAGTTTTGAGCTTCTTAATTGCAGTGACTTTTACATCCCATTCTCATCAACCACCCACCCCTGGGCATTGTCTTCCCTTAAAACTCTTTGATAGCATAAGCCTCTACGTTCCTTTCTTTGACCCAAATCTCTACTCCCTTCACCTTCCTTTCTTCCCAGTCAATTTACGCCACCATGACCAATTACTAGAACTTTCCTCTTAGACCAGCTCCTGAAAGTGTTTCACCCCTTTGTCTCTTTAGCCAGGATCAGTGTTCAGTCCCTTTTCAGTGTGCCCTTTCTTGTCCAAATGGAGAAAATATCTTAAGTCATTAGGATTGGGGCCACTAAAATTTTAATTGGGACCACTCAATTATAATTGTGTTCTCAATACCATTGGTCAATTATTTTCTCTTTGGTCAGCCCCCACTTACATTGCCTGCAGAAGTCCTATTCTAAACTTTTACTGCCCTCCTCAAACTTTCTGTCCTCTCCACTTCAATAGCTGCTCCCCACACCCAAATGACTGAGAAAATTGAGGTTTTCAGTCAAGATTCCCTCAACTATTTCTCTTCGCTTCTACAAGCTTCTTTACCCATACTCTGCTAACATTCCTCCTTCCCATCCTGGAGGAAGTGGTGTCCCTCCTATCCATAACCAATCACAACCCTATGTGGTTACCTCCCATCCCTTCTACCTTTTCTGGAACTTTATTCCATCAATTAGCCACTTGTTCACTTGGATTTTCAACCCCTTCTTCACTACTGGCTGCTGCTTTTCAGCTAATAAAGATGTCCAAGTAAAAAAACTTTCTCTCAACCCCACACAAATCCTATCTTTCCTCTCCCCTTCACATCTAAGCATATTTAAAGAATAGTCTAAACAAGTATTTCCTAGACTTCAGTTTTTCAGCCATGACAATTTTTGCCATATCCATGTAAACCATCTGTATTATTATCTATGCAGTAACCCGTTACCAATTGCCATCGAGTAGATTCCGACTCATAGTGACCCTACGGCACAGAGTAGAGCTGCCCATAGGGTTTCCAAGGAGAGACTGGTGGATTCGAACTGCTGACCTTTTGGTTAGCAGCCCTAGCTCTTAACCACTGCGCCACCAGGGCTCCAATATATTTCCTTAATTCTACTGACTTTTTTTAAACTACAATATGTTTGTTTTTAAGATAAACTTTGTAATATCCATAAAATCATGGGTTTGATGTACTGGTTGTATATTTTAATACCTCTTAAATACATAACTGTTAAAAATGAAATGTTCATCTGTTTACCATCTGAAATCACCTCATGAATAGTACATAACTTTGGGAGACACTTGTCTATATTTGATGAGTCCATCTTCTCATTCACCCTTTATTCCTCAGAGCATTACAATCTGACATCTACCCCCTGCCCACTTCTTCACAGAAACAGCACTTCTAAAGATTGCCAGCAAAGTCCATATGACCAAATCTAATGACCGTCTCTCAGTCCTTATCCTACCAGAACTTTCTGCTGTGTTTGATACTGTTAATCATTCCTTTATGGAATGCTCTGCTCTGTGAGCTTCCAAAATCTCCCTCTCTCAT